CAGCCATTTCAGGGTTTGATTCTGGGTCTACACATGCAGGGATGCGGGTGGCGCTGTGGTGTAAACCACTGAGCCTCTTGGGCTTGCTGATCGGAAGGTTGGCGGTTCAAATCTGTGTGATGGGGTGAGCTTCTATTGCTTTGTCCCACCCGGTGGCGTAGGAAGGGGTGTGTGTTGGGTGCAATCCGCCCCGGGTATCATCACTGAGGGGGTGACAAAATGGCAAAAATATGTGTTTTTAAAATAAAATAAAATTAGGGCTCACAACCCTTTTTTTTAAAAAAACAACAACTCCTGCACCCACAACACACCCTTCCTACTCCACTGGTAGCTAGGTGAGGTGGGGGGCACTGGGTGTCACACCACAAGGCCTGCAGTGTGCCTGAGCCACATGTTTCCCCTGAGGGGGAGGCAGTGGGCGGACTGCCTGCAAGCTCTGCGCTGATTTTTCGAGCAGCGCAGGGCTTGCATCTGCCCACTGCCTCAGCCGTCCTACAGCGAGAGGCTCCACACAACATGCCCTGCCTTGGCTCGCACCACCCCCATGGGTGGCTCGCTTCATCCTCAGCTGCAGGATGCGCGCACTGCACTGGGCACTCAAGTGGCGAGCTACGCCACTGGTCCCTGCTCCTGCCAACCTAGCAGTTTGAAAGCATGCCAGTGCAAGTAGATAAATAGGTACTGCTGCGGCAGGAAGGTAAACAGCATTTCTGTGCACTCTGACACTTGTTACCACGTCCCGTTGTGAAGAAGCAGTTTAGTCATGCTGACCACATGACCCAGAAAGCTGTCTGTGGACAAACGCCGGCTCCCTTGGCCTGAAGCAAGATGAACGCCGCACCCCATAGTCTGGACTTACGGTAACTGCCCAGGGGTCCTTTACTTTTACCTTACACATGTACAATGATGGTGGTGGGGAGCTTCTCACAATGGAGAGGTAGCCACCAAGAACACCTCCCCTTCCCACCCTCACTGTTGAAAACCAACACTGAGATAATGCAATTCAGAAGCTGCCCTCGGTGGGCTTCAGAGATAGTGCTGTAATAGGACCAAAGGGTGGAGGAGGTGGTCTCAAAAGTATTTTGGGGCTTAAGGCAAAAAATATCTGGGTCATTCCACATCAAATCAACGCAAAAAACAAGGGTTTCGCCACCCACCGTCTCAGATTTTGATGAAACTTGGTGTACACCCTTCCCTTATGGTTGAAAGAAACCCCCTTAAATTTTTTCCCTCTATCTCAAACGGTTTTAATTTTATAGCACTTCAAAGTTTCGTGAAATCTGTGTTTCTGTCCCTCTTGAGATCCTCGGCCTTGTGTGCATTTCCCCCCCTCAATAACCAATGATCAGATCTCTTTGAAATTTTACACAGAGATCAATAACATGATGGGGATTTCAGGAAAAAATACACCAGCACTCAAAAGATTTCATAAATGCCTAAAAAAATGTATAAATGTAGCTTTTTTGGTGGAAAAACTAGGTTTATAAAGCCTAAATTTTCAGCGTTAGGGCATGATGTAATCAAATGTTTCTGATGGTGAAAATTATTGCAAAGACATGCTCTTTCTCAACATAGAATAACATTTATGGGTCTCTTATGTCTTGTAACAAAATTTTACGTTTTTTGGACATCATGGGGGGGGGGAAATGGCTACTGGCTACAACTTTCCTACAATCCATAGGTGTAAAAGAAAAAATTAATGAAACAAAGTTGTTCCTCTTAAAATCTAAAATAATATTGGTTATTACAGGGTTTCCCCCCCAAAAGTGCAGACTTATTTTTCAGTTTTGAGGTATTTAAAACTATGAAAATTGGCCATATCGTGAAATCAATCTAAAAAAAAATCTTTGCAATAATTTTCACTATCAGAAACTTTTGATTGCATAAGGGAAGGGTGTACACCAAGTTTCATCAAAATCTGAGATGGTGGGTGGCATGACTGCGTTGAACTGACGTGGAAGGACCCATCTGGAGATATTTCGAGACATCACTGAAGCGTGCTAAGAAAGGTCAAAGATGAAGAAGTAAGAGAGAAGGAGGAGGATTGATATTTTATTTTTTTTATGGTTAGAAATGAGGTGCTGGTACTTTTGTTAAAAGTGCTGTGGGTGCCCATCCAAAATGGCTGCCATGAGTAGCAAAAGAAAAGGTGATGGTGTATTGGTGAGCACCTTCACACACACACACACACACACACACACACACACCAATAATAATAATAATAATAATAATAATAATAATAATAATAGGTTATAGCCAGTCCTAGTCCTACTCATTTTAAACCCATTGAAAATAATGGGCATGACTTAGTTCCATTAATTTGAATGGGTCTACTCTGAGCAGAACTTAATTGTATACAACCCAACAGCAAAATGTTTTCACACACTATTATACTAACGTAATAAGAGCCTGGCTGCTAGAACAGGTCAAAGGCCCATTGGAACCAACATCCTCTTCTCACAGTGGCCAACCAGATGCCCAAATGGGAAGCCAGATGCCTAATGGGATGATAATCCCTGAACTCCCTTTAACCTCTGTATGGTTTACCCTATTTAAAGGATAACTGAGATGGGCTTGCTAGGCCTTCTGTGGCTCAGACTCTTGAGACTAAAGGTGAGGAGCCTATGGCTCAGAGGTGGAGCCTGGGACTGATGGGAGCTGTAGTCCGTAATGGCTGGAGGATAATCAGCTTGGGGGAAAGGCTAGTCTAAGATGTTTCAATTATCCTCATGAAACACTCACAGATGGTGTTATATATATGACCTCTGAAGCCATGGAAACCAGGAAGGGTGGAGCTAGAGTAAAAACCCATATGTGGTTAACAGTCTTTATCATCTATCACTTCCTTGTTTTAGCTGGAGACCCTCAGAATTGAGCGTGGGACCTTTGGCATGCATATCAGGTACACTACCCATGGAGTTTTAGCACCCCTAGCAGCCACTGAAGAATGGTGTCGGGTACAACAAAATGTTGCAGAGCAGAGGGTTCCAATTCAAGGTACCAGCCAGCCATACTCATTTCTGTGGCTCTCCATTCCATTCTCACTCTCACCCTTTTTCATGGTTGGTCAGCTTTCTGTGGCTACTGAGTATACTCAGTCCTTGTTCAGTTATTTTGAGAGGGGTATTTTTTTCCTCCCCTTAGTGTCCCCCCATAAATATTCTGCAGACCTCGGGGTTCCCTCTATGTAATCTGTGACAGAGGCACGTCCGCAGCCTGCAGTGTTCGTAACCTGCAGTGCTGCATCTGCGCATGCGCATGATGTGATTTGGTGCTTCTGTACATGCATGAAGCACATTTTAGTGCTTCTGCATATGTGCTAGTGGCGAAACCTGGAAGTAACCCTTTCTGGTACTTCCGGGTTTCCCGTGGTCTTCAACCTGAAAATGCGTAACCCAAAGTGTTTGTAACCCGAGGTACTACTGTATTGTCTACCTTCACAGGCAGCATCTTTTGAGGTTTTCAGATCAGCGTATCTACCTGGAGATGTCAGGATTGAACCTCAGACTTCATGCGATGTAAATCCTCTGGAGCTAGACCCCTTCCCCAAAGAAGAGTTTGGATTTGATATCCCGCTTTATCACTACCCTAAGGAGTCTCAAAGCGGCTAACATTCTCCTTTCCCTTCCTCCCCCACAACAAACACTCTGTGAGGTGAGTGGGGCTGAGAGACTTCAGAGAAGTGTGACTAGCCCAAGGTCACCCAGCAGCTGCATGTGGAGGAGCGGAGACGCGAACCCGGTTCCCCAGATTGCAAGACTACCGCTCTTTAACCACTACACCACACTGGCAAAGTTAGGAACATATGCAAAGTATGTGCTTATACTAGCATTGAGTATAATCATCCATACCCATATTGCAGAATTGAGATCTGAGAATGTGGATGGAATGTTTAAGGAGGTGAGATAGAAGAGGAAGAACATGGTGGCCGGGGGACGATTCTGAGAAGAACTTAGCAAGATTATGAGTGGGAACTTGGCATAACCTGTTGGGTTGTGGGTTTAGCCTGACAGAATCTGGCTTTCTAGGCTTTTCAGACAGCCAGTGTAGTGTAGTGGTTAGAGTGTCGGACTTGGGAGACCAGGGTTCAAATCCCCACATAGCCATGAAGTTCACCTTGGGCCAGTCACTGCCTCTCAGCCTAGTCCACCTCACAGGGTTGTTGTGCAGATTAAATGATGGGAGGGGGACAATGTATACCACCTTGGGCTCCTGGAGGAAAATGGTGAGATATATAAGGTAAAAGTAAAGGTACCCCTGACCATTAGGTCCAGTCGTGGCCGACTCTGGGGTTGCGGCGCTCATCTCGCTTTACTGGCTGAGGGAGCTGGCGTACAGCTTCCGGGACATGTGGCCAGCATGACTAAGCCGCTTCTGGTGAACCAGAGCAGTGCACGGAAATGCCGTTTACCTTCCCGCTGGAAGGAGGCTAAACCAGACACTTGTTGCTCTGCACATGGGCCTCCAAAGGTGCAGACTTACAAATAACCACTACACCACACCTTAAGACAATATCTTGGTCTTCATCCAAAGCCATCTTCCCTATTCCATGACTTCAAGAGATGCTCAAGAAAGCAAAAGCTAAGAACGGTAAGGAATGTAGGTGAGGTTAGGAAGAAAGCCAGCTAAGCCACATGGCGAGGCGATGGGCAGCACAGGCTAGTCCATCAGGGCAAATGGGGCACTGCCCCACCAACCTCAGCCTGCCCTCAGCAAGCCCCCTCCTGCTCATCTTCTTACACACAACCAGTCCAGGGGTGGTGGCAGCGCTGACTGTCACCTTGCCCCTCTGTAGTCTCAGGGTTGCCTTTGTGGAACTCAGCAGTGGGGAGGAGGATGGGGACCAAACCAGAATTAGTTGGCTCTGCCCGTCATGGGCTGTGACTACCTACTGTTCGGGCTCCCTGCCTTCTGCCCCACCATTCCCACTGGGCACCGGGCACCACTGGAGATAGGCCTTGAAAGGAAAGGAAGAAGTGGGAAGGTGCAAAGGGACTCACCCAAAAGTAGGTTCATGAGGACCTCCTGGCCTGCCAGGGTGCTGCTCTTCACCAGACAGATCAGCGTGCCGCCGATCCAAGGGATCCCATGCCCGGTGATCCCGATGAGGTTGATCATGGAGCGGGCATTGCCCCAGGACGAGGCGTTTCTGGCACACACCCCAAGCCTCTTTGAGAGAGAGATGTCGATGGCCAGGAGGGAATTGTAGGCGATTCCTTTGAAGGAAGGGTTCAGTTGCATGCAGTCTTCCTCGGGCAGCTGCTGAGATTGCCTCCGCTCCTTGGCACCTTCGGTTGGGGCAGGAGTGGGGCCGGGCTGGCTGTTCTGCCTCCGGCCAGCGCTCCTGGGTTCTTGGGCACCTTTCAAGGGCTGGTTCAGAGACATGAACTCAGCCCTGTTCAAGACATTGTTCCTGTCTCTCGCCCTGGCCCGACTTTGAGATGCCGGCATGGTGCAGGTCTCTCTAAAAAAGAAATTTAAAGAGGAGGGGGGGAAAGAAAAAGAGAGATAATCCTCAGACTTCTTCTTTCTTTTTTTTACCCCTCCCCAAGACCTGAGCAGCCCCTACCCCACCTCCCTCAAAAGTCATGAGCCTGGTAAGACGGGCAGCTGTTAAATATAGAGATAGGAATGCTCAATGCACATGGCTGTTTACTTTGCAGGCCCACCAAGCTTGGAGGAGGAGGGGCAGAGAAGAAAGAGATAAATGACAGTAACAGCAGCCAGTCTGGCACCTGATCAATGCCCAAGCAAGCCAATAGGCAGGCATCAAAGGAGGGCAATTTGACTAGTCAAAAGGTTTGGTTGCTTCTGGCTTGGTCTATTTAAATCTTCCAATTGCTTGTTTCTGTGGGCCTCAAAGGAGGATGGGAAATGTAGTTCCCTCGCTTCCCTCTGCCTGTTTGCTACAGTTATCTTCCAATTAGTGTCACCGCTGTACAACTTTGGGGGGAATTAGGGGGTGGGGAGAGGGATGGACGGCTGTCAATTTTTACCGGTTTCTCTCAGTCTCTATGAGAGAGAAACTCTCTGTCAATTTTTACCAGTTTCTCTCAGTTTCTCTTTCTTCCAATCTTAATAATAATCTTACATCCAGTTCTCCATATTTCTGAAGTAATTTGTGAATCTCTTAGGGAAAACAAACCCTTATGAAAATTCACCAACATTTTAGTGCAAATATATCATTATAAACACATTTTAGTATGCAGTTTTGATGAATGTACCCTTTTTTAAAAAAAAAATCCTAACATAATGCACTTATTTTAACTAATAGATTAATTTTTACGCACTTTCTCCTAATGTGCATTTTTTTGGTAAACATTGGTTAGCTGGGGAGCTGCATCACACAATTTGGAGAAGTGTGAATTTCAAAGGCTAGCTGTGATTCAGCTTGCATATTGGTTGAAGAAGTACAAACCAGGTAGTTTATAATTAAAATACAAAAAACTCACAAAAATATACAATTTCTCCCCTATCCCTGATAAAGGAGTAAGCTGCCACTTAAACAAACTGGTCTTTCTCTCATGCCATATAAACTGTATGTGAAGTTTTCTTACTGGAGAGGTGGAAAAAGCTGCACCTGTTGGATTTCTGCTTTGTCAAGTTGCTGGTAAAGGCAAAAGCACATGGGCAGCAAAAAAGGTGGTAATCTTAGGTGTAAGATAATCAGAGAATGTTTGTTCCATATGTGCTCTGGAACTCCCTGACTACTGATACTAGGCAGGCGCCTTCACTATCCTGTTTTAGATGCCTGCTTAAAACCATTCTGTTTCTGTAAGCCTTTCCATACACAATAATTAGGGGAAACCATGACTGTTTGAAGTAGCATAATATTGCTTTAAATGTATAGTGCAGGTGGGGCTGAATTTTTACCCAGAGCAGGCCCCACTGAAATTAAGGTACCTGTTAGTCATATCCATCAATTTCAATGGGCCTACTTGGAGCAAGACTTAACACTTGCTACAACCTAAAACTACGTACTAACCTGGGTAACTTCCCTCTCTGCCCAGAACATTGGAGGGCTATACACCACACCCCCTCCACAGTATTTATAGGAACTCAAACACTGAGATCCTGCTCTGTTCCAGTAACAAGAAGCCGGAAAGCACCAGCCTGAAGATGACGAGTGAGACCTCGTACGAACGTCGGCCTAGGACACCCCCAACTTTTACACGGGGAAAGACACCCGAGACACCAAACCTGGCATTCCTGTACCCGTGAAAATCTACGAAAGCAAACATAAAACAATTGTAGCTACATCATGTGTAGGCTATGATGTTGCTCTTCAGCTGACCCCAAACCTTTGAGGCTGGTGTATTTGTGTGTGGTTCCCCCACCTTCTCGTCTGACCAGTTCTTCTTCAGCTGGTCTCAACTCAGAGGGCCCCTTCAAAGGGATCCTAAATGTTGGTTTCAGGGACCCTGCCTGCTCCGAGGGGTCCTCAGCCTATAGGGTCTCTGTTTATTCTCTGGGAGCACCATGTGAAAAACCAATCAGGCATGGGTGAACGCAGGGATCAGCAAGCCTTTCAGCAGGGGGCCAGTCCACTGACCCTCAGACTGTGTGGGGGGCCAGACTATTTTTTGAAGGAAAAAATATGAACGAATTCCTATGCCCCACAAATAACCCAGAGATGCATTTTAAATAAAAGCATACATTCTACTCATGTAAAAACACCAGGCAGGCCCCATAAATAACCCATTTTAAATAAAAGGACACATTCTACTCATGTAAAAACACACTGATTCCTGGACCGTCCGCGGGCCGGGTTTAGAAGGCTATTGGGCCTTAGTTTGCCTACCATGGGTGAGACTGTTCCTAGTAAGGACCAAAACCCACAAGTACAGAGCTAGAATGAACCTGGAATGTCCTGTCCTGGTCACAAATAAGAGCACAGCAAGGCAGGTTGGTTGTTTCAGCACCATGGAGAACTCCATGCGAGCAACTTGCCACAACAATGGCTCTAGGTCAGGGGTTGTCAACCTGGCCCCTACCGCCCACTAGTGGGCGTTTCAGGATTCTAGGTGGGCGGTAGGGGGTTCTATGGCACAAGCTGAATCCTCCTTCCATCGAGCACTGGTGGGCAGTAAGGAAATTTTACCATCAAGAAAGATGCATTAGTGGGCAGTGGACTACCCCTGCTCTAGGTGAACTGAAGCTCTTTGAGCCTCTGCATCAAATCTACCTTTCCTTTGCAAACCAAGCTGAATTTCTTCCCCTGTACCCAGCCCCAAGGCCACTGATCCCTCCCACATGTGACCTTATGGTGGTGTTTTGCCTACCTAAGAATCGACATTTAAAGAAAGGGCTGCAAAACGTTTGGCCATCCAGATGTTGCTACACTACAACTCCCATCAATCTTTTATTTTTTAAAAAACAGGCATCTTTATTGAAAGTTAAAAAAAGAAATACATTATTATATGTGCACTAAACTTGGCGAGACATAAATAAAAGAGAGAAAAAGAAAAAGAGAAGCAGCAGCTGTGTAGAAGGCAAAGTAAAAGGGGGGGAGAACCAAAACTGTATACTTTACAGAGTTGTTGTAATTCACCAGATCTTAACCTATTACAGTATTTGTAAGAATGGGTTCCAAATATTGAATTTGTCCATGGCAAGTCTGCATTTATATGCAAGATGTTCATATGTTGCAAGTTTGTAGAAGTCTTTGATCCAAGTGTAGAAGGGAGCTGCACCCCCCCCCCATTCACCAGTATCAGTCTTTTTGCCATGATCATGGCATGGAGAATCCACTCATATTGTCCTTTTGTAAGGATCCATGTGCTGGGTATATAATTCAAAATAATATTTTTCCACTGTAAATGTAAGATCATTCTGTACAATTCTGTTGATGGATTCAGTTACCTTCTGCCAGAAATCTTTCAATACAGTGGTACCTCTGGTTGCGAATGGGATCCGTTCCGGAGTCCCGTTCACAACATGAAAAGAGTGCAACCTGCAGCGGCACGTCTACGCATGTGCAGGTTGCGATTCGCCACTTCTGCGCATGGGCGTGATGTCATTTTGTGTTTCTGCGCACGCGCGAGCGGTGAAACCCGGATGTAACCCTTTCTGGTACTTCCGGGTTGCCGCAGGACGTAACCTGAAAGAACGTAACATGAAGCGGACGTAACATGAGGTATGACTGTATAGGCAATAAAAAAACATATGTTTTAGAGAAACATTATCCCTATTGCATCTCCAAAAGTTAGGTAGTTAGGTACCTTAGGTAGCCCTTTTTTAAACAAACGTAATGGGGTCCAGTATATTAAAAATATTATTTTTTGTTGTATGAACCTCAATTTAAGGTCCAGAGGCACCCTTGTTATAGCACTTAAAACAGTTTCCTACTGTATGGTCAAAATTGAGATCTATAATTCTTTATTCTATTCGTCCCTCAATATGTGTACTGTATATCAGATGGGTAACTCCCATCAATCTTAGCAAGTGTGGTCAACAGTCAAGGTTAAGGGAGTTGTAGTCCTGTTAGATTTATTTATTTATTATTAGTCATGTAAAGTGTCCCAAAGTGATACAAAATCAGAACACATTCTCTCTCTCTCTCCACCTGTAAAAGCAGATCTTAAAAGGCAGATATACTTATATTTATTGTTTTACACCACTTTGGATGAATACAGTATGTGCTCAGAAAAGTAGCATAGAAATATTTTAAAACAAAGGATTATATTACAGGGGCAAGCAGGATATATACGTAAGAAAAGTAAGATAAATTGATATATTTTGTCACTTGTTGGAACACATCTTGGTCATAGAAATTGTGTGTATATGTTTGTACACACACACACACACACACACACACACACACTTCCCTTGTATGGCTTTTGTTTAATGGTGCATATACTGGCATAGGGACGCGGGTGGTGCTGTGGGTTAAACCACAGAGCCTAGGGCTTGCCGATCAGAAGGTCAGCAGTTCGAATCCCCGTGACAGGGTGAGCACCCGTTGCTCGGTTCCTGCTCCTGCCAACCTAGCAGTTCAAAAGCACGTCAAAGTACAAGTAGATAAATAGGTACTGCTCCGGCGGGAAGGTAAACGGCGTTTCCGTGTGCTGCTCTGGTTTGCCAGAAGCGCCTTAGTCATGCTGGCCACATGACCTGGAAGCTGTACGCCGGCTCCCTCGACTAATAAAGCAAGATGAGCGCCGCAACCCCAGAGTCATCCATGACTGGACCTAATGGTCAGGGGTACCTTTACCTTTACTTATACAGTGGTACCTCGGGTTACATACGCTTCAGGTTACATACGCTTCAGGTTACAGACTCCGCTAACCCAGAAATATTACCTCAGGTTAAGAACGTTGCTTCAGGATGAGAACAGAAATTGTACTCCAGCGGCGCGGCAACAGCGGGAGGCCCCATTAGCTAAAGTGGTGCTTCAGGTTAAGAACAGATTCAGGTTAAGAACGGACCTCCGGAACAAATTAAGTACTTAACCCAAGGTACCACTGTACTGGCATATTTATGTAAACAATAAATAAATAAATAGCCAACGACCCTTTGTTATGAGAGTAGGGGTATCAAAAATATACAACAGCACCCCTAGATGCTGGAAAATATAGTTCCCTGGCAACCACGTGGCTCAGGAATACCTGAGGGGGAAAACGTTTCTTAGTTTCTAGGCAATGCCAATCTTGTTCCTTTCACCCAAATAAAGCAT